CCCCTCCGCGCCCCACGTGTCTGCTGGCCCCGGCCGGGCGGGCGGCGCTGCTTTGCGTCCAACTTGCCCGGCTGGCGCTCCTCCGGCTCCCCGACCTTCCGCAGTCCTGGCCCGGCCCTTGCCCGCGCAGGCAGCACCCCCTAGCGCAGGCAGCCGGGAAGGAGGAGCCCGCTTCCCGCGCCTCGGCAAGGCGACGGCGCCTCTGCGGGCGTGCAGAGCGCTACAGCCCGCTCCCAGATGCGCCAGCATTGGGCTGGCCTGTCAGCTTGTTTCCGCTCGTCTGTGGGACAGACGTCAACATGTCTCTTAACAAGTTGATGATTCCCACTTTCAAACTTTTACCTTCCCGGCCAGCCGTGCACCGATAGCCTGTTCTGCAAATGATCGTGGCCCGTTCACGGAACAACTCACTGCCACAAGAAGTCTTTAAAAGGGGGCTGAGGCAAATGCATGGAGGAGAGATATGGTGCTGGCCGGCCGCAGGAACCAATGGAGCTTCCATGTTCAATGGCAGTGCACCTGTGACTATCAGGTGCAAGGGAGGGGTGACACCAAAACGTTTTGGGAAACATCTCCTGTTTGCAGGACTTAAACAGGCACCTGGTTGGCCACTGTGAGAAACATAATGCTGAACTCGAGGGACTTTGGTCTGACCCTGCCAGGCTCTCAAGTTCTTGTCCTACAAAGACAGGCTGGTACTCCCTGTGGACGCTGGGGTACTGATCCAACACGTGCATTAGAAGAGGAATGGCACAGGGAATCATCCCGAGAACCAAACAGCCGCTGTTTTGTTGGGTGGTGGGACAGGAGAAATCGGCACAGATCCCCTCTCTAGTCCTGTTCATGTGTTACAGTGAACGCATGCCCATCCTGCCTGCATGTGCCTATGTCTGTTTGTAAGAAAGAGCCAATATATGTTCACTTTATGAATGAAACCAGGGACCAGGCTTGTATCACACATTCAGCTGCACAGTAATGCTCCCTCTAAGCTGTGGAGTCCTGTGAGCAAAAATTCTACTGGCACTAAAGTTGTGAGCGAGCCATTTGGCTGCTGCATAAATCAGTTTGCCCTGGAGCCATCCTTCCTGAGCTAAGGCAAAAATGTGTGAGCCAGAGGCTAAAAGACTGTGAGTTAGCTCACACTAACTCAGCTTAGAGGGAACACTGACACATGAGACAGATCAAGACGGGTGGCCGTGTCAGTCTGTCTGGAGCAGCAGAAAAGAGCAAGAACCCAGGAACACCTTCAAGACTAAGAAACTGTGGCGGGGGTGAGCTTTTGTGAGTCACCGCTCACTTCTTCAGATACAGCTAAAAGGGGAGTCCATCTGTCCTATATATTGGAAAGTGGAGTGATTTCAGAGGCCGAATGATATTAGTAGACTGTAACATGAGAATTACTCAATGCATACCAAAAAAGTGCACACTGTACACAGATCGCACATGCATTCACTGTGACTGGCGAACAGGGCTTTTGCCAGGGAATGTTCAGTCCAGCCAGGTCTTGGGTGGAAAGGGAAGTTACGGTGATGGTTTTATATTGCAATCTTAATTTAAATGTTTTGCTAT